CTTCCTTGTGGTATTTTTTTAAAAAAAAAAAAAAAAAAAAAAAAAAAAAAAAAAAATCTGTCTTGGTTTCAGTGTATTCTCTATATAGTTTAACGTTCTTCATTGCCTCATTGAAAATACTTAAAAAATATTTTCCCAACACTGATAAAATGTATATGTTTGGCTGGCCAGGAGTTGCGTACTACAAAATTTTGATTACTCTGGGAGTAGAAGAGTTTTATTTTAAATGCAGTTCTCACCTCGGTAGTTTACTTGTTAAAGCATTGATAACTTTGCACCTTTTAAAAGAATGTCACTTTTATAACTTGATAAAACACTGACTGTATATAAAATGACTGTGTTAGTATATGTTAATATAGTTATACAGAGATCTCATCTAGAAAGAAATTATAAGAAATGCTTAACACTTCGGACCTCTGGATGGTGAGAGAGGTTTTTGTGAAGTGCAGTTCATACTAGGACAACTGTTTCGTAGGGCAAGAAAACAGTTGGAGATTACCCTGCCCTTATTGCTGAGCTAGTGTCAGATCACTTGCATTTTGTATTTCCCTTGATGCTTATTAGACAGTATGATTTCAATTAGAGCTTTGACACCTGCCTCCATCCCAGATTTAGCTGCCTTTTTTTTTTTTTCCCCCCCCTGCACATAAGTGAACTCAGTTTCTTAGCAGTTGCTTATTGTGCAGCATATTGGAAATAAGAAATGTGGGATGATATCAACGTGCACTGAGAGCTGTCATGGCAAAGGGCATGTAGTTGGTGGAACTCGTTTCTGAAGTGCAAAAGGTAGAAGAAAGGGCCTGGGAGTTCTGTGGGAGCTGCGTGATGCTAAATGCTGATAAAAGCCAAGTGTTAATTGGGGAAGGGGAATAAGTGGACTTTATTTAACAAAAAAAAAATAGTGGAAGTGGAAAAGCTACCTTTACAGACATTGTATGCCCTCTTGTTCTGTGTCTTTGGTGCAATGTCATACTGCAAATTAGGAGCAGCTTTTTTCAAACATCAAATGTCTGTATAATTATTGGTGCCCAGGTTAATGATGACAGAAAGCATAAGCTCTAAATTAGTCAGAACAACAACCCATTTACAGCATTTATTTCATTTCAGTAATTAAAAAATGCTTCTCAACTTTTGGAAGTAAAACATTGAAACTTAAAAAAGAAAGCATTCCCCCACCTCTCTTCTAAAGCAGAACTGCTGTAAAAGACTCGAGCTCTGTGGTTGGAGACGTTGTGTGTGATGAAGGGGCTGCTCTGAGGGCCCATGTCCCCTCGGTCCCTCCTCTTGTAGCCCTCGGCCTCCTCACCCCTGTCCTTGTGATCGATGTAAACATAAATACTTGTTTATTTCTACCATAATTTGGTGATACACTCCAGCTTGCTGTCACTGGAAACACCCATGACTGGGGTCAATGGTATGATAAAGCAATATTTAAATTATGTAAAGCTAATAGTTCTGACACCTGACTTCATTCTCAGTATGTTTTTATAGCATGAAAAGTTTAACAAATGCTTATATCCAGCATTCCAGTCTACTCTGATTTATACTTCTATGAAGCTGCTTCTTGCCTTACTCAATGGCCGTTCCCTGCCCCTCACCCTGAGTCTGCATGAGAAAAGCGCTCTAGTGAAATGGATTTATTTTTATAATATTTAATAACTGTCAATACCCATGTCTCTTAACAACCATCCGGCTTTTTAGAGAAGTCTGTACAGGTTTGTGGACATACACGTTAAACTGTAAAGCTGTAAATCTGAATAAAGCTCATTTTGGAGAAGAGGCTGCGCCTGTTGCCTCCGCTTCCCTCAGCGCGGGGCCGGGGGAGGGGGGGAGAGGAGGGGCGGCGGCCATCTTGCCCCGCGGCCCCGCCCCGCGCCCCCATGACACAGCACAACGGCGGGGGCGGGG